TTTTTTTTTTTCCTTATCTCTGCTATGCCTTACATTAATGGCATTAGTAAGCTTATGTGTTGTTCTTTTACAACTTGAGTTATCAAGTTTAACGTGAGTCGCCAAGTTGAATGAGCTCAAACGTAAATCAATGCCAAGTGTTACATCTGCATGTGAGTTTTAATCCACCGCACGGTAACAATCATTTTTACTTTTTTTTTCCTAACGTACTTAAGAATAATCTAATATATATATATATATATATATATATATATACTAAAACTTTGTTCAGCCTACTTTTATTCTTTGCTATATCCAAGATACGTGCTAGTAAATGAGTGGGTTCTATACTCCTCAAATTTTTCTTGTCGAGACCTAACTTTCCGTTTCTCAAAACGAGTCTCTTTCCGGTACTAATAATTTCACAATCAGTACAGGTTCTATACTACTTTTCTGGACTGCCGAGTACCTTGGGTCAAACTTCTCATGTTCAACCCAATTCTCTTGGGTATCTCATTAGTCAATTTCTTTTTCTGAAATTTTCATCTTAATTGATTCAGAATTGCCCAAAACGCATACCCTTGCGGTACTCATTTTTTTTTTGGCAGTTTCCCGCTTTAACTAACTCGGGAAAATTCCGTTTCAGGAACTTTTGCTATTTTCCTTACTTCTAATATTTCTATTCTTTTTCTAGCTGGTCATTTGGTCACATACCAAATATTTTAGTTTTTCATAACTAAAATATACCCGCTAACTAATATTTACGAATTTTCTTTGTAAAAATATTCGTATTATAACTTTACACTTTTCGGGAGATTTTACCCAGTACATAAAGTTTTTACATAACATTTTCTTGATTACATCAAAATTCTATTACTTACTATTCCGGAAAGAATTTTAGTCAAATACTGGACTGTCCGGATTAGACCTAAATTTTTTCCCGGTCATTACACTATAAAAGAGAGGAATTATAAAAACGATAGTAACAATAGAAACGACATCAAATTTGAAAACGGGGCAACAAATATTGGCAATGACAACAATTTTTTTTTTTTTTTTTTTTTTTTTGCTAAGAAACAAGTAAAACAACATTTTTTTAAAAGAAGATTTAAATAATGGATCAGGAAAAATCTTTAAAAAAAGGACAACGACATTAGAGCTAAATTAAAAAATTTGAAGAACGTCTACCACTAATGTTTAATAGGATTGTGGAAGAGTGGGTGAATCTATTATGAGAAAATTTTAAATTTAGCTATTATTTTTTTCAACTCTATTATTTTTGCCACTACTCAAAATTATAAGACAAAATGTTAGGTACATGAAAACAAACGACAAAAATAAGAAATTTAGAAACTTTAAGAGAACGAAATAACAGTCCAAAAGGATTAGAGAGTTGAAAACGACAGCTATATGCTTATAATGATGAAAGATTAGAAAACGGAGACATGCAAGCGGAAACAACCAGAAACCATGCTAAAGTACTTAAAAGAGAATATAGGATTATTACTAAAAGAAAGAATATACGATTTAATAAAGAGAACAAAACCCAAATTAATAACATGATTTAATTAGGATAACAAACCAATTTGCACAGAGAGGCAACAAATATTAGGGTTATCAAATAAAGATTATCATAATTACAATAATATAATAATTGTTATTTACAAATTAATGAAAACGAGCAACTTGATGGAAGATTAGAAATTTGATACGTATTGGAACAAAAATTTTTAGTGTCACTCACTACATAGATAGCATAATTATACACTGTAACAAAAAAAAAAAAACAAAAAAAAAAAAAACCTCATAATCCGAATTATAAACGAGTAAAATAGTACCATAGCAAACATATACTTCAAAGAAAAGAAAAAAGAAAGAAAAGAAAAGAAAAGAAAAGACAATAGTATGTAGCTAGAATTTTCAACATAATAATCAAGGACAAAAAAAAAATCTGAAATGCATGTAGATAATATTTTCTTCAAAGGTTCTCAAGGCCTTTGACAAATTCTGAAGCAAAACATTCCATTTCCGGAACACTCAGAACCAAACCGATCTCTACTCCTCCATTCCCATTTCTGCTATCCGAAAGACAAATCGCTCCTGTCCTGTCTATAGAAGTCATCTCCACTTTCCTTGGCTTTCCCCATCCAAAATCAGTGCAATAAACCTCAAACCTTGGCGACCCAGCAAAACTAACTCCTTTAACTTTACTATTTGATACATCACCAACTTTACGTTTAGCGTTTGCACCAATAATGATCGAAGCCAAATTCTCAGCCCCATTCAAAACCCCATCATCTAAACTGTTTATACCTTTACTTAACGCCTCCAAAGCAAAGTTTATCCCATCTTCTCCCCAAAGATTTTCCGCCTCTACAACCACTCCCCGACCGCTTATGCAGTTCCCGAAGTACGTCGCCGGAATAGCAGGTTTCAGGCGAGACCTACAATCTACGTTGAAGCCAAGATGTGTCTTCTCTTCTCTTATTCCCAACGCTTTTACTACACAAACCCACGTGTAGCTGCACGTGACCGAAAATGTTGACATATGAAGTGGTATTAATCCTTGATTAATTGTCTTGTTCATGGCTGATTTCTTCAACTTGTCTATGTTCTCTCGACTCAAATCGAACGTGCCACGAACTAGCCCCGGGGAAAGATTGATATTCCATGTCATTAGGCTTCTGTTGTTAGGTCCGTTTTCTTTTAGCCACTCGTTTGCGTAAATCGTTTCTAGCCCGGCTGGGTCTTTAACGACTGTTCTATCGTAGAAAGGCCTAAGTTGCTCTTCTCCGCCAAGTGATCTGCATATTTGAGCCCATGATTTCATGAACGACGTTGAAGTTTTGCCGTCAAGAACGGCGTGGTGGGCGGTGATTCCGATGCAGAAGCCGGAGTTGGGAAATAGAGTGACTTGTAATGATATCACTTCTGCTCTTTCGTGGGACACTTTGAGGTGGGGTACGAGAGGATGGCAATCTGTTGCTTGACGGAAGTCGTCGTTGCTGGAGAGGTGATAGAAGTCCATGTCGGACTCGGCTATCGTCAGCAAAACTCCGTCACCGTCGGAGTAGTCGATCGAGGGTTTGGGGGAGTTTTGAGGCCAAGTTAGGGTTCCAGCGAGAGGGAGGTAGTGGTGGAGGGTGAGAGAGAGTGAGTGTTTGAGCTTTGGAATGATCGAATTGAAGAATGAAGTTTTGGAGGTAGAGATGCCGTAAAAGTAGAGGCGTTGCACTGGTGGGAGCCTTAGCCAGAGAATGTCAAAGAAAGTGAGGGGCAGAGATTTAGGCCCGGCGGGGGAGTCTGATAGGTCTGGTGTCGGAGCCACCCTGAAAATCTCCATTACTTTCACCATGCACGGCGGTGTCATATTTTTGCTTTTCAGAGAACTCTCACTTGATAAGTATTTTTGGTTGAGAAATTATGCTTCAATATAACAAGCTTATCATTAGTAGTACTAGTTGGTACTATGAAAGGGAAAGAAAGAATTATAAATGTTAACAGAACAAGATATCCTTATTTTGATATTGTATGAGAATGGATTTTTTGGATTATTGCTTGTAATCGGGAGTTGATTGATTTAGATTACGACAATTAGTGCAGAATAGTTTAGTTCCTGATTTCATGCTAATATGTGATATTGCGTTTTAAAAAAAACATAATAGTTGTTGAAAAGTATGGATCAATGTGCATATAGAATATAATAACATAACTGGCATTATATAGTTTTATGCTAAGTAATTGAATAATTATGCCGCTATTAATGCGTTAGTATGCATAACGACACCAATAATAAATTGGATAAAAGAATCGAGAAAGTGAAATTTTTAAAAGGGCCGACAATTTAGCTTGGCTCCTGTTCTTTTTGAAAGACTGAGATCTTCTGTCTAATTTTAGTGTCTCAAATAGTGTCTAACACATCGTGTAAAAATTTTAAACTGCTTTTTAACTATTTCTTCTTTTGTGCATACAATGATATGGTTTGATTAGTTACATACTAATTGAGACACTAAAAATTAATCAAAAGATGCAGATCTTTTATGAAGGAAATTAATTGAACAGTTATCTAGTTGGTAAGTTGCTTGCCACGTGTGTGATTTGTATTATATTGCAAATTAATTAGATCGATCGTTACAGTAGTTAGAATTTCATACACTGTTTATGCTAAGTTGTGAGTTGTAAATTGCTTGTTAATCAGACTAAGAATCAATTTATAAAGGGTATATTGACATGGTTAATTCTTGAACTTACATTTTGATGTTTAAACTTTTAATTTTAGCATATTAATTTTGAATTTTTATTCTTTAACAGTTTTGGTTTTTAACACTAAAATTAACGAAGGATATTTTTCTAAAATTTAACAAAAATAATCACCGTGTCACAAATTTTTCACGTAGTAATTGTCATATACATTGTTACGAGCCAGTTTATGGAATAAAATTCTTTTCATAAACATACATTAGGAATCTAGGCATCTATCAATTGCATGTTTAAGAAAATAAAAATAATAATAAATAAAAATGAACCGGTGCCATGCATGATTACAGACTTACAGTAAGGCATATTCCTAACCAAACTTCTGGGGCCAATATTGGTTTTTTATCTTTTTTCACACGCATTTAAAACGCGCGACAACAAAACTAAGAAACGACAATCACTAGTAAAACGACAACAAAGTTGAAAACAACAACCGTGTGAATGACAGAAAGACCGAAGACTGACGAATTTTAAAACAATAACAGAGTTAATCTAGAAAGAAAACAACAGAAAATGAATATGAATAATTTAAATATGCAACAATAAAACTAGAAAATGATAAGAACCAGTAAAACTACGACAGCCATGCAAACCAACAAGGCAACACCCAGTAAAGCTGAAAAAATAACACAGCCATAAAAAAAAGAAAAAGAAAAAAGAAAAAAGGATTGTGACTGATTATGATATAAGATAACACCAAAAGAAGACGAGTTCAAAAGCCAAAGAAAAACTACAAATGAAAACAAAACAAAAAACAACGACAACCAGTAAAATGACTAAATAAAACCCGACAAGAACCTTGTGAACGACATGAAAGTTGAAATTAGCATAAAAGTAAAACGACGTCAGCGTAGAAACCTCGACAAAAAGGAAACGACAATTGTCAACAGAAAGTGAAAATTGACACGATGATAAAACGCGATCAGAAAAATTGAAACGTTGACGCTGGATAAAACGACGAAAATATTTAGAAATCTACAATAAAGAAAACACGAAACAACCATGAATCGATGGAAAAATTTAAAAGGACAACAACCATTTAAACGACAATAAAACTGCAAGAGAACATAAGGTAATAAAATGGTAACAAATTGTTTCATAGAAAAAGAAAAGTAATAAATTGTGAAAACAACGCCTGAAAAAAATGTTAGCGTCCGGTGCTATGCATTGGAATTAATTTTATAAATTCTATCCGTCTGTCGAAATTTTAATTTTACCATATTATTAATTTTCTAGTTTGTTTAGTAATAGCGATTTTAATTGACTGTTTATTAACAATTAACACTGACATTATGTTTACAAGAATGAAACATTAAGGAAAAATAATGGAAAAATTTTAAAGTATTAGAATAAATATTATGTCGTTTAATATAGAGAAAATTAAGAGAAAAGTAATTGAAAATTTCAATTGACCATGTCTAAATATTTTCAATTTTTATAAAAATAAAATTGAAAAAATGATTTTGCAATGAACACATAGGTATAGCACAATTATTTATTAATTAGTTCTACCTATTGACTCATTTTGTATAAAGTATAACATTAAAATGAACAAAATAATATGTTAGAGGATGAATTTTTTTTTAATTAGAATGTACTTTAGAAATATTATCGATAAAGTAGATTTTTAAACATCGAACTAAAAAGAGTAAATTTGAAAACATAAATTTCAAGAAAAAATGTCAAAAAAAAAAAGACTTAACAAGCCTCAAAACGGTTTTAACTAATAAGGAAAAATAAGGCCAAAAAAGACTAAATAAATAAGGAAAAAAAATTAAAAAGTAAAAATAACAAAACATAAAACGACTCAACCAGCCAATAAATAATTTTAACAAATTAAAGAGACAAAGAAAAGGTCACAAAAGACAAAATAGATAAACAAAAGTTTTGAATATTGAAAAAGGAAACTCTCTTTTAGATATTTAATAGTAAAATAACTTGGGTGATGAGAATTTCAGCAAAAAAAAAAAAAAAAAAAAAACGTCGGTGATGAGAAAATAGTATCCGGAGAGGCTGAAAATAATGGTATTTAAATAAGATAAGTATTTATAGGGCTTATACTTGGAAAAAATAATATTTTAGAGGGCAACAAAGTGAAATATTTAAGTAGCGACATAATTGACAAAAATTATTTTATAAGGGAATATTACAGAAATATTGTTTTAATAAGGTACATCTAAAAATATAAGATTGAAAAATAAAATTAAGCAGATGTACCTAAATACGTGTTTTAATCAAAATATGTGTTTCAATAAAATATTACAGACATATAGAGATAAGAAGAACATATTCAAGAAAAAGAGATTGTAGTGAGGACAAATCAAACAGAAGCAAAAAGGAATAAAAACAGAGTTAGAATTTAAGAATTTATGGACCGAAGCAAAAAGGAAAAGGTAAGAAGAAATAAAAACAAAAAATAATAATAGTAAGCAGAGTATATTTAAAGAAAAAATAATCTGGACAATCAAATGGAATCAAATAAAAAATAATAATTAGAAGTACATATGAAAAAAAACATTTGAGTGAGAACATACAAGGAAAAATAATTTTATTGAGACAAAATTGTAAAGAAACATATATAAAGACCATTTCGATATAATAATATTATATGATTACAAGAACAACAAATAAATAACATTTTTTTTTTAAAGAAGATTAATGAAAGCAACAACGATAAAAAAAAAAAAAAAAGAGTAATGAAAGCAACCACGAACAACCAGCAAATTGTCTCCAAGTCCTGATAGTACTGCGAAAATACAAGTGACAATCCTGCAAGATATGAAAACATATATAATTGAAATTTGTTAACACCAAATATTCATACACACGAAATCCAAACCGATCTCAAGATCAATCAAGACCTTGAGCAAACAGAGAAGCAAAAGCTTCCATTTGATGTTTCTTCAAGACCAAACTAATCTCAACTCCATCCCCATTTCTACTATCCGAAAGACTAATCGCTCCCGTCCTATCTATGGAAACTACGTCCCTCTTTTTCGGCCTTCCCCACCCAAAATCAGTGCTGTAAATTTCAAACCGAGGCGACTCGCACTTCTGATTGAAGACATTATCTGTGAACCCCGTTTCTCTGCCTCATTCATAACTTCATTCATCTCCAAACTCTTTATAGCTTCAACGATTTCTTTGACCGCCATACTTAACCCGCCTTCCCGGCCCAAAAGACCTTTAGTTTCAATAATGCCAGCTACAATGCAGTTTCCAAAATATGTCGGCGGCAGAGGAGGCTCCAAATGAGACCTACAATCGATGGCGAATATTGCGACTACTTTGTCATGCTCGTTTATTCCTTCGGCCTTCACCAAGCAGCACAATATATAAGCATATGTCAAAGAAAAGGTGGACGTGCGAAGTACTTGGTGATGATAAGCGTGTTGTTTGTTCACTATTTGCCTGAGTTTTTCTATGTTTTCCCTCGTCAATTGAAAAGTGCGTCGAGTTGAATTCGCCAAAACTTCTTTACCTCCCCCATAAAACATAAGGCTTCTGTCTAAATCTACCGTTTCTTGATTAAGATTTGCAGGGTTCTTGATAACAGTCCTGTCGTAGAAGGGTTTCAGCTCGGGCGGCAAAGAGAGAGAGTCATGATCAGCGATTTGTTCCCCAATTAGCCTGCACATGTACGCCCATGATTTGATAAACATTTGTGAACTTTTGCCGTCGAGAACACCGTGGTGCAGGGTGATCCCTATGGAAAATCCGCTGTTTGGAAAGAGAGTGATTTGAAGTGCTAACGCAGCTGCTCGGTCGGGGAATTTGCCAAGTTGGGAACAAGTGAGGAAAAAGTCAATAAGACTAAAAAAAAGAAAAGAATAAGAGGTGGAAAAAGTCAATAAGACTAAAAGTATGGAGACATTTGAAAGGATTTATTTTAATTAAAATAAAGTGAGGAAAAAAGAATATTTTAAAGAATGATATTGTAAAAAAATAAAATAATAAAAGAATGTTAGGCGGAAAAAGTCAATAAGTAAAAGAACATAAGAAAATTAAAAAAAAAAACTAAAAAAAGAAAAGAATAAGAGGTGGAAAAGTTAAAAAGATAAAATTAAAGTTATATAGGAGTTTTTGAAAAAATAAGTAGAGAAATATTTGAAA